CATGACAACTACACCCATTCCTTTTGCAAAGGATTTTTTTTGTTTCAGAATATTCATATTAAATTGGCTACTAGTAGACAAAATTCTCTATACATGCATATGATATCTGCCAGACAGAAGGACTATGTGTTTCAGTAATATACCTTTTAGTTAATTTGTTATTACGATTTTGGACTACTTTTAATTAGATAAAAAAATTCAATCTGCTCATATGCAAATGCAATCCTGCTTGCTATGATATCCAAAAATATACATATGTTCAGGTTTACAAATGAACTGACTTACATGTGGTTACGGTAGTATGGCAATATTAAAACATCTGCTACATGAAGGATGGTGCAACCTAAAATTCACAAGCAGCCTTGCACTGTGAGCAATTACAGACTGCTTTGATTACTAATTTTCAATAGGCTATAGTGTTTACTTTGCACAGATTTTTAATTACATGCATACCATGCCCCACAGAATTCTATGTGGGCCATAGGCCCTTGAAGCAATGCTACTTCAGAACTGTTTCAAAACAACATGTTACTTTATTAGTGGAATCAAGCTGTTTTGAGTTTCAAAAGGGCACAGGAAGATGCATAACACTTCACAGTCTGCAGTACTGCAAAAAAGCACCTACTGAGAAAGCTAACGATAACCAAACATTCTTTTTTGACAAAGGAAAAAAGGATTAAAATGAACATTAATGATTATTATTTAATCCTTAATGTTTTCCATATGCAGAACCATCTCCAAAATTTGGTATGCACTAGCATAAATACTAATGCAAATGCTAGAAAAATAGCAAAAAAAAAAAATAATAATAATTAAAAAGTCACCCTGGTTAGTAGTTCACGTTTTCAAATATGCATATGGTTTGCAGAGGGATTTTTTCCTTCAATATTTCTCCTGATTTTTTTTTCCTTGGACAGAGATCTAAACTAATCTGAAGGTGGAGAAAAAATAGCATAATTTGCTCCAAGAGTAACGTCCCTATTTATCTACTACAACTGATACAACTACAACTGGAAACTACAACTGGAAACTACAACTGATACAAAGAGTATTATTATTAATACTATCTAATAGAGAATATTTTCAGCTGCAAGATACTACTTTTCAACATAGTCACCACTTTTAGCCATGCATTTCCAGCAGCCGTGAACAGCAGCATACATATCGTGCTCGTAACAATCAGTACTAGCAGAGGTGACCCACTATTTCACAGCTGCTATGCTCACATCATTGCTGAAATGCAGCACCCATTGCCCCACTGCGCTCACATCCACTGTTTTGTCTCCATAAACATTCAGCAAGCATCAATGAATGTCAGTGCCATTTTTCCACACGGAGAAACTCAATGATACACCTTTGTTTTGAAGGCACTTCCATGTCAGACACCACTGTGTAAGGCTGCCCCTCTGCTGCCATCTGTCACACAGCAAGAAAATGTAACAATACTAGTGGAAACCAACCACCAACACTGATCTCTGATCTCATGGGTTGACAAAATAAAATAGGAGGCATTAAGTTTTTAGCAGCCCTCAAACTTACAGAACGCAGACTTGACTGAAAATAGCTTACTTACACAATCAAAACTAAGGAGGGAGATCACAATGATTTTTAAGACATTTCTGTTTTTTACAATGGAACAGCATTAATACCAGAAAAGGTATGCATCCAAGATATATCAATTATACCCATAAATGTATATGAAACACATTACTCCATTAATGCAGATTAACTCCTGACATTTATCATTGCACTTGGTTCTTACAATCTTTTTAAAAATTTCACGTGAAGCAATACAAAATCTTATTTTAAATTGTCACCAAACTGACACTTCTTCTTCTAATCACCTTCAACATTGTTTAGAAGAACAAAAAAATTTTTTCATTATCTTCCTTACATGAATACCCTCCCTGTACTGCCACTGACTGTCAGTTCTCAGGGGCTAATTTCAAGTCTGAAACGATGGGAGAATGACACATGTAAATGTCATTACTTTTCCAATGTGTTGGTTTCTCAATGAACCTGCTTGGAAGCAGTTGTTTCTGAAGACAGTGGTAAACACAATGACTTTGACAACAAAATGTTATCTGTCATTGAAAACTCTTTTGAAAGATAAATGAGCTTTCAAAAGATAATGAAAACAGACTTTGCTAAAATTAGTGTCTGATCTAACCACTAAGCCATGATAGAAACAAAAAACAAAAAACCCACAGTCAAATTTGCAAGAAGTACATCGTTTTCATTGCACGTCCTTCAATTAAAAGGATATTCAAAAACTTGGAATGGCACAAACATGTGAACACATTTCATAAGAGGAATGCAATATCAAGTACAATCTTCTGGCAAAGATTAGGCTAAGGGCAGCCAGAAAAAAGACAAGAGCATATTACAATGATCAAATTACACAAACATACTGCATCTGTAGATCTCATCTCTGAGAGAATCACCAATGGCCGGGACAATAACAGCTGTTGCTCAAGTACCAGCGCTGTGACAAGACTTACTGCCAGAGAGAGAGAGAGACATTCTGGAGGGGGTAAAGAAGGATTTGCAGCTGCAGTGCAAATCTTTGTTATTGCAGTAACTTAAGACCCTCAGCTCTTCGTCAGGGGAGCTGCTGGATCGAACATGAGCGATGGCTCAGCAGCTCTAGCAAAAACAGCCAAGCATCCTCTCTGTTGCTCCCATGCAACACAGCAGAGAGCATAATGCAGGAACAACTGTCTGAGGCCAGTTGTCTCTAAGAACATTTTATAGAAGAGAACTTTCCAGAACAGAAAAAATTCCTCTACTATGAGAGGAAATTCTGACAAGTGATGAGTTGTCTGAGCATTTGATCAGACTCTGAAACAAATTAATAAAACCAGCATTTTATAACTTTATCACTTTATTACACAGAAATAAGAGATGCCTTACACAAAAGACAAGCTGCATCCTACTTTCACTCTTAGTAACCACTTGGCCTCAGTTTAGTTTTGGATCCCATGAATTAAAAAAAAGAGAAAAGAAAAAAAATAGGAGCTCTTCTCTTGAAAGACAGAAATGTACTTTGAACAAAACTGAGAACACCTAGCAGTGAACAAAGGGGCAAGCCCCTGTCACTACCTCTGTGCTACAAAAATGTTGATGGTGTTCTTTAACAACAGAAAGAAGATTTTTGCAGCAGTGATTTCCAATGCAAACACAAAATGTTTGGTTTTTGTTTGTTTGTTTTTTTAACTGCATCTGAAGGAGAAAAATAAAAATTCAGTATCGTTTTTTTGGAAGAGTATAATGAGCAATGTTGGTCTGAACGATGAAGAAGTTATATGACAACTATAGTAGAAATTATCTTCCTCTTCTACAGTCATACCTAAAATGTAATTTTAAAAAAGGGAAAAGCTAAATATGTATTAATTTATGTGATGCACGTGTGTAAGTACCTGAAGATGATCTTGTATATTTAGGTGTGAGTGATAAGGAAACATTATTTACTGGCATGTTTATAAGGAATATTTTACCAAGTGACAGCAAGACAAAAATTTCTGGTTTACATGTGCTATCATTAGAGTTGTTTTATAGGTTTATTCAGCTACACACAATCTCACACTTGTTTTGGTTTCTACACTTTCCAGTCTGGATGCTATTTTTCCCTACACGGGAAGTCTACTATTTTCTGTTATCCTGGAAAAGTAACAGAAGTGAGGGGTTTCTCAGCTTTTGCTTGCCTTCCCTCAGTATATGATGCCTCTGCTCAAATGCAAGATATCCCTGCAAATTGTTTTCATACTACTACTGGCATGCATCTTGCTCTTAAGGAATCCTATGTTTAACAGTGAACTGCAACTTGAAGATATCTATTGGTCATTCTACTTCAATGGGAGGTAACAAAAACGGCTGTAACAATACTGGTAGAAAAGAAAACTGCTTAGGATAAATTCAAGCCACTGGCAGTTTCTCTTTGAAGAACATTCAGATTACCCCAAGTACCAATGGGATCCAGTGCTTTCTTTTGACTTTATCCATGTAGATTATTGTGCAGTAAAAAGGTGCTTATTTGGAACAGATTACCTAGTCCTCCTCAGCATGTTGTCAGACTGACTATTCACCATATATTAAAAATATATATTCCAATTGCCTCATCCAATCACATACAATTAGTGGCAAACCAAGCTCAGCAAAGGGCACATCAATAATAAGAAAAACAAAAACAAACAAAAAAAGAATTTGCTTTGGGTTTTCTGTCTAAGAACACCTTCGATTTACGTCATCAGTGATTCATACAGTATTGAGAAATCCACTCAAACTTTTCTTTCTGCTACTTTCAGTCACTGCTTCTACTAGTTTTTCATTTATGATTCCCAACTTTGCAAGGCCCAAATATCTCACAAGGGACATGATTGCTTTCCTTCTGACAATACACTTTTGTAATGTAATAATTATTTCTATAACTAAAGCTTCCACAAAAATATAAAGAAGAAAAACAAGATATTCACTAAAAAATAGACAAAAACCACCATCTATTTGGTGTGCACTTCTAATCGCAACTACACATTCCTCTGGAACATCTAAAATCCAGAAACTATTTATAATAAATTTTGAGATCACAACTGGAAAGCAACCACAAATTTTAGAATATTCTCCTCCAGACTTTACTGTGAATGACCAAACAAGCACCTAAAACTAAAACTTAAAAGAAAGGTTATTCCACAAATGGAATGGAATGGTGTGAATTTCAGCAACTTCTTGCTTTGACATTAGTACTATTAATATTATTGGACACTTTTGAAAGAAATTATTTAACAAAGATTTCCCCTTTAAAAAAAAAAAAAATAGAAGATCACCTTAAAATTTCATTAAAATGTGTGAAAAATTCAACAAAGGAGAAATCTTTTTAGGAATAAGCATTTGACTTGACAGTTTTATAAAAATAAGTATAAAATAAGTAAATAAAGAGATAGATAGATAAATAAATATACATACAAGTTCTCACAAATGCATTAACTCATCCACAACAATAATACCTGCATTTGCTGCACCAATAGTCTGTGGTGTCTTTGTTGACCATTTCTTAAATGCCAGTTCACTATCTGTCCTTTCCAACGAGCTATTATGTTGTGACTGCTGTTGGTCTTCATCTTCAGCAACAAATGAAATTACACCTAAAACAAATAGATAACAGATATTTGCTGGGGCCCAGCTTTATAAAATAAAATGCCAGACACCTAAACACAGAGAAGTTGCAGATCATGTTTACAAAACTATTTGGCATTTGACACATTAGAGGAGCAGCAATAGTAACTGACTTTATGTTACCTGTCTGCAGGTGCATAAAAAGAAAGTTACTGACATGCATTTTAAGCTTCAGAAGATGGTTAAAGTCAAAGGGAAGAGGAGAAACCCCAGACCAAGCCAAGAAAGGTTTACATAGGGCCTGAGAAGGTGATAGCAGTGAGGAACAGAGAGCACCTCACTAGTCACAATATCTGGCTCAGAAATCCACCACGACTATACCATTGGGAGCTGATCAATATTCCTGAACATATAACAGCTTATATCAGGCTTATTTACAGTCCTTGGCATTTATCTTATTCAAACACTTTTGCAGAAGGCTGCATTCATAAAAATCCTTCCACGTTTCACTGCATTTAAGGAGATCAATTTTTTACAAAATAGCCTCAGTTAGAGTTCTTTTAATAGTACATGAGGATGAAGGAGGAACAGAGAAGAGAGAAGTGAAGAGAGAAGAAAGGGAAGAAAGGAAAGAGGCATAAATAAGAGAAAAGAAAGAGGTGGGGGAAGAGGAAGAGAACAAGGAGAAGGAGAGAGAAGAAAGTGTGTACTTAAATCCAGAGGAAAAAATTATGTAATCTTAAATTAAATATTAAATTTCCAGATTTTATTCCTTTGTTAATAAAATCTATGCTACCCAATGGGAAAACAAAACAAAACAAAACACACACACACACGAAAATATATATATTTTCTCTAAATGTCTGAAAACAATCACTTTACTGAAGCCAGAATTGGTATTTTAAAAGTTTGATGGTGATTGCTATTTTAAGAAACTATTGAATATTTTTTAAAAGATTTCAAAGGGAAAGTATATGTATAAATGCAGTTTAAGAAATAATTGCAGAAAGCTCCAAGGAATAAAATCTGCAGAAATTACTCAAGTTATATAAATATTGATGTAGGAAAACAAATTTTGATGGTTAATTGATGGCTAATATCTAATGGATTTTATGAAAAACATTGATAAGCTAATCTATTTCACACCTTAATAAATAAACCTAGTACAATTTTGGTCTAATGCAGCACAGTATTAAGAAGGAAAAAAGTGCAAGATTTTATCTTTATTTAATTTTATTTAATTTTATCATTAATTTTCATTATGATCCTAAGGATTAACATACTTGAGATGCCATTAAGTATAAAGAAATGAGCAAAAAGTCAAGCTATGATTTTAAACTTGATTAAAATATTTGAGTACATGCTGAAATAAACTAAATTCATACATCTTAAAACGTCCTTACAGTAGTGGTTTTTTTTCACTACATTTTAAAATATAATCAATTTCTTTCTTACAGTCCTTTCTTCCATTCAGAATGTATTTGAGAATATTATACTGTGCATATGTGTGCTTGAGAGAGAGACAAGTGTTCAGGGCTTAGAAGTTTTAATTTCATCCCTAAGTAGGAGTATAGAAAAACAAACAAACCTATTTAGCTCTGTGCTAAACGTGAACTCAAAAGCTCTGAAACCATTGACTGAAGAATTCTGAGTATCTCTCTGTGACAAATCTTGGAATGTTTAAGAAATTCCAGAACTGTAAAATGTTAATGCTGAAGAATATTTGAAGAAATGATAGAAGTATAATAACTGCAAACCACTTAAATTGGTCAACCACTGTGCAAATAAACCAGCAATGGCATAATTGATAAATCAGTGAAGAATTGTGCTGTAATTGTCAACATTCAGCTTTCTTTCCTTGCAGAAAACAGATCTCAAACAGAATTAATAAAATTGAGGGCAAAGTCTTGATCACTAAAGGTAACTGGATTGATGTAGTATTCAGATTTCTGCAGGGTTCTCGATTATATCTGTCCATGTATTTAAATAAAATATAACCAGATTCACTGTAGATGGCCTGCATTTTCATACTGCATTTATCTGCTAACTTTAAAATATTCATAAACTGTCCATCACTTTCATAGATGTGAAAGTATTTATGACTGGCTCAAAGCAATTTCAGTTTTTTTTTATCAGGGAAAAAAAAAAGAAAACAACTGTTGATAAAAAACTGCAAATAACAAGCAAGTGTATTAATATTAGATCATGTACAAAAAGTACCATCCTTATCAGTAACATGCTCTGGGTGACTTTAGTCTTTAAGACTGATTGTTTTCCAAAGATGTACAATATTGTGGTAAGGAAAATGCTTTCCTGGTTCAGAAATGAGTGGTGCAATGCAACGATCACTAGTACACAGGAGATTAAACTAGCTGATACTACATAAATATAGGAGCTTATTCAAATCAGGGGCTACCAAAAATTCTAATCAAAAAGTGCTCGCAGGCTAGGAAAAAGTGCTTTATACAATGCAAAAAAATCCTTAGCAATCTATCAACTACTAAGAAATAGACTGGAAATGTGCAGAAACACTGCAACAAATAGTAAAGATTTAACACAAAAATTCAGCATAAGCTTGGCTCATATATTACATAAGCTTCTTGATTTGATTTGTGAATTCTTAGTCTTTTGTCAGTCTATGCCTCTGTGCACTCTGTCATCCTACAAAGCCTACTGCGGCTTACACTTCTTCAATACAGTAATTTCTTGTGTATTTATGGCACACTGATGCTGCAAAGCAAAACATCAGAGTGTTTTTTCTTCCTTCTAGTGGCTTCCTTCTAGTTCCAATTTCTCTGTCACATGTATTATATCGCAAGGAAACTTGTTGAAATATCATAGTTGACGATTTTTAAAGCATACTATGAAAAGAATACTTAGTGTATGGAACACAATTCTAAACATGGAGAATTCCATCCAATAGAAAGAAATTGACTTTTTTTTTTTTTTAATTAGGCGATGCATACTTCAAAAATAAAGGAAAAGTGATTCATAAAACTAGAAGGCTCCTTTCTACAGGCTAGTTAATTGTTACATACAAAAGAACACAGACATGGTTGTGAATTTTTTGCAAAAGAAACAATAAAGTACTATGAGCTTTGGTCTTTTCTGGATATTCTGTGGAAAGAAAGAAATAGATTTAAATAAAAGATAAAGTAATATGTAGAAGACGCTTTATAAGACTTAAAAGAAATTGCTTTATTACCTAGGAAACAGATTGCTGAACAATTTTATTTGGTGCAAGAACATTTCACAAAATGTTTATTAGTTATTATTTCTATGTTAAAAATCTGTCATATAGCTACAAACTAGCTGTAGCACAAAATAGTAGCTCTCTATTGAAATCCTTCAAATGGACTTTTAAAAAGAAGTAGGCCCATTTTTTACTTAGCAATCATAAGAGAGCAAAAAGGGAAGCAAAATAAGTATAATTGTGCTGCTGCATAATTTTGTAATGAAAAAGACTTTGAATAGAAAGGAAAGAGAAAAACCATTTGCTCAGTACAACAATTTCTATGGCAAAAGTTCCTTTATGAAATTGCAATTTAATATGACAAAAACATCATTAAAGAATACCAAGGTTACAAAGTTTTATACATACAATTTGGAGAGTTCTAAACTTGAAAACATTCAACAGTTCTATCACAAAGTCTTCAGCTAAATATTCAACTAGCTGTTCTTTTTTCCTCACAGGATAAGATTTCACTATATAGATACCTTTTGAGCCTTGTTTATATCCTCAATATTCAACATATTTCCCTCCAAACAAATTCACCAAACTGAAAAAGAGTATCATTATTTTGGAGTATTTAATGTCACCTGTAGTATTTTGCAGCTAGGAAGTACTAAGATTCCTGAATCCTAATTAATTACCAATTGAATCACTCACATTCAATCTGTGATCCTCACACTTCACAGCAACTGAAAATTCCTACAAGAGCCAAAAATTCTTATTTCTCTCAGTTTAAACATTTCCATACACAAGTTTCCATGAAAGTAAAAATTCTGCTTTGGGGAACAAATACGACTTCTCACAATTGCATGATTTGAAGCAGACTGACTTCCATTGTACTTGAGTCCCCAAACTAGTAAGCAGTTTCTAGATTGTGTCACCTTATATGGGACATTTGGTAGTTTATATTACACCTAACACTGGAGAGCAAAATCAGCTTCTGCCTTTCAAATCCATAACAGGGGCCTTTCTTCCCCACTGCCAGACAACAGCCGAATGATTTGAATACATTTACAAATTTCTATGATGTAACTGAAACTGCCTCTGCTCCAGGGGAAAAATGAATGTGATTTTTTCAGGTAGTGATTAAAGCAACCATTGAGCCAGAGGTTGAATGGCAGATACTGGGTCCTATCTCTTTCATAAACTCACTTCAGCCTCCTGTCATTATTTTACAGCATAAAATATATGAACTGTTCCCTGAAAAAAAAATAAAAAGAGCATATATGACTACCCAGCTTTGGAGTTATTAACTTTTCTGTCAGGTTAGAGACACTGACTGTTCACTTTCTCTCTTAGTGAACATGTAATACTTCCAAGTACAATGGAAACCATTGTGACAGGAGTTAGGAATGATAGAACAGAGGAGATGACGGTTCAAGTATGCCATCTCTTTGAAGGCATGGCTTTTAACAGCTGCCGTTAAACTACTATATGATAGATCACTTGGAATCTCTTACACTGAAGCTTTCCGGACTTACAAAAGAACTGTATGTTTGCTAAGCCGTAAGTAAGAATAACCCTAAATCTTCAAAGCCTAAGAAAAAAGCATTGTTAAAGTATAATGTACACTCAGTATTTCCTTGTGACTAATTCTGATGGTCAAAAATTCAATTGAAAGCTGGCTCCAACTCAGAGAAACTGAATTTTTTCTCAGGGCTACAGTCTAAGGAAGAAGTACAGAAGTTTTCCTGTGGCACTACACCAAGCTTTGTTGCAAGTACTTAAAAGCTCTGTTACGAAAGTAACGCCTCCTGTTTCATGATGTTAGGCAATGCTTGAGGTGGATGTTGGTAGTATGGCCATAGAGATTGAACCTTCCCACCAATACCATTACATTTTGCTGTTGTGTGACAGATAGTAGCAGAGCAGCAGTGTGACAGGTGATGTCTGAAATGGAAGTGTGGATGAAGCAACAGTCTGTCACTGAATTCAGAAAAAACTGCATCCATTGACATTCATTAGCACTTGCTGAACATTGATGGAGACCAAATAATGGATGTGAGCACAGTGAGACAATAGGTGCTGCATTTCAGCAGTGGCAACAGCAGCAGGGTTGCCTTCTCTGGTACAGATTTGTACAAGCGCAGCATGCTGGCTCTAGTTCATTGCTGGTGAAATAATGGTGGTGACTCGTGGTGGTGACTGTGTTGAAAAGTAGTGTTTTGTATCTGAAAATCTTCTCTATCAAATAGAATTACTGTGCTCTTTACTACTTTATCTGCTGTAGTTTCCATGGCAATATATAGAAAACAGTACTTTCAGAGAGACCTATAAATTTTCATCATCTGCATATTGAGATGCTATTAACCTATAGCTACAGTAACCTATGTTTTACATATCAGAGACTGTAATAGTCAAATTAATAAACTAGATTTGCATTCCTGAAGACAAGACAATTATTTTTTGATGTTGGGAAACCAGCAATCATTAATCTCAACTTTTCAAAAAGTTATCAGAAGAAATTTGCAGTTAGTAAACTAAAAGGCCAAGATTATACACTGAGCATTCTCGATTGAGATATTTGCTCAATATTTAGAATCCTTTTGTTTAAGAAGTAGACTAAATCTAGGCTTCCTAAGCACTATTCTGTTATTTTAAGGAAAATATGATCTCCTCTGTTCTCATAATTTCCTTCCTCACACATTATAAAAGCTGCTAAGTGCCACAATTCCTGTTTTTAGAAGTATGATTGTACAACCTCATTCTCATTGTGCTTCTTATTATGATGTAAAGAATGAGAAAATAGAATTGTAGAAATATTAGTTAGCATTTGAAAATGATTAAATGACTAAGTCTGAATTATTTAAAGAGATATCCATTTAAAAATATATTCAAGACAAAATATTAAATAAGACACACTGATGTTAGTTAAAGCCTGCAAGAACCTTAATATCGTTTCATAGGAGTATCAGTATAAACATGGGCTGATGCAAATTATTTGCAGTTAATTTTAGTAATGTACATTCTGTGCATTTACTCTTGCACCCTCTAGGCAACAAATTGAACTTTAATCAAAGGAAATAATCAAATTTTAAATTATTGGCTCTAGTAGTGCTTAGAGAGCTACAGCTATTCAACATTTTCTGGAAAGTGCACTTCTTGATAATTCAAACGCACAAATTCCTATAGTGACAATTTCCATGAGACCAATTAAAGACAAAGTTCCACAAATGTTGGCATTTTTGAAGTAGTCAACCACATTTTTAGCAGTAATATCTTCACAACTAAAAGTATGACCCAGATTAAAAATCAGTATCACCAGCTAATTACAGTGTTACTTTCAGGAAAAAAAAGGTCACATTGAACAGAAAGCACTAAATGTAAACAGACTTGGTCTTTAATTCACAGGGATTTTGCATACTGGAGTTCTACATTTTACCTTGAAAGACTCCTCGCCTCCATGGAGATATACTCAAACTGTAAGGAACTATGTCATCTGGATCCACAGTAAGAACTGATGCACCACTCACCATTGAAAGATCTGAAGATACCTGATAAAAAGAATATACAAAAAGAATGAACAACCAAAAGCAAGTTACTATGATATGAACACTGTAGACAAAACTATCCATTTTACTTGCTTGGAAATGTAGCATATGATATAAAATCTGCTGTTGTAAAGTCCTAGTCTTTATACATATGAAATGAATACCTATAGTAAGAGACAGCACCACATACATCATCATGTATGATGAGGGGATCTAATCCAGGTTTATAAATATCTGAGATGTGGGGGCCACAGTGGTGAGGCCAGTCTCTTTTCAGTGGTGAGTGGAGACAGGACAAGGGGAAATGGCTGGAAACTGCAGCATAGGAAGTTCTGCACAAATGTGCGCAAGAACTTCTTTACAGTGAGGTGACGGAGCACTGGAACAGGCTGCCCAGGGAGGTGGTGGAGTCTCCTTGTCTGGAGATGTTCAAGACCTGCCTGGATGCCTACCTGTGCGACCTGCTGTAGGGAACCTGCTTTGGCAGGGGGGTTGGACTCCATGATCTCTGGAGGTCCCTTCCAACCCCTACAATTCTGTGATTCTGTGATATAGCAGACAGAGACTATACCAAGTAAACTCGAGTGCAGTAACTCAGTTAGTAATGACATAAATATTTTACATACATTTTCTTTAGAAGTGTAACAGTGAACTTCAACACTTCTGATCTACGTTTATGGAGCAAAGCAAAATCTGAGTGTTGTTTTAACATCAATTGCATCAATTAAGTGATATTACACTTATGCAGTGTTACTTGTAGCAACTATCTGAACAATTAAATTACTGGTGCAATTTTCTTACACTAAATTTCGGATTTTTTTAAACTATAATTATTACAGAAATATGGACTGAGAGTATTTCTAATTGTATCTCATTTCTTTATGCCTTACTGTTTTACTACAGAAAGACTCTATGATCAGCTTCTCATTGGTCAGAAATTTAAGTACAAGGCACGACAAACCACAGTTAATGATAATCCGGCCTATTGAGTAGTTTTTCAGAAAGACAGCAAATGGACTGCATGAATGGTTCTGCTTAAATTCCCTATTCGGTTACCTTTTTCACTGGAGCAACCTGGTTTTGGTGACAGTGTTTTAAATTGATACTGCTATTTCTGCACTGAACATCTGACTACAAGTGAGGATTTTCCAGACATGGAGTTCTTTAAAAAGTATTTTCAGGATATGAAGCATTACTGTAGCATGCTATAATTTCCTATTACACTAAAAAATAGAACTCCTTCTGCTGTTTAGGTGAATTTTAAGCAAAATCACTAAGTCAAGAACACTTTAGTTTTTTTTAACCAGATTATATTTCATTAATGGTAACAGCCAGACTGTTAAGTGTTGAATTGGATGACCTGAATTCTGCAAAGATCTCCATTGCAACAATAAAAGCATGAAAAGCATGGACCACTTTTTTTTTTTTTTTTAATCCTTTTTTCTTTTTAGTCAAAATATTTTCTCTACTCATGTTTTCTTTAGGAAAAAAAATACCAAGTTTATATTGACTTCTCAAGGGCTTTCCTTCTTTGAGCTATTTATATAATATAATACTTTATATAATATAATAGAAAAGTATGACATAACAAGGACAGTTAGAAAATAAAGCTATATTTTTCAAGTAGTCATTATCTAGAAAAATCTAACAATCAAAATAGAGTATTGAAAGTCATGGAAAAACTGTCAACTATAGAATGATATTTTATTTGGACTTTTTCTTATCCTATGATTCTATATTCTTTTTAAAATAATTCTCCAGTCTTGTGACAAATGAACTTACACAAAATATTAATATTCTAGCATGAATGAGATGCATTTTACAATGCTCAGTGAGGCAATTCTGCATGCATTCTGTACCATCAGAAGGATTTTTTTTATCTAAATATTTAAAATCAAATTATTTCAGACAATATGCTGCAGAAATTGAGTATTATAAATTAAAGATCAATTTGCCAAAGAACAACATAAATATGAAATAATTTCAGTCATTAGAAAACAGAATAAATCAGTAAGTAGTAGCAGATGAAGGAATGCAATCAGGCATGCAGTCAATTCAGGAAGAGAAGAGGTGAAAATATAATTTCTTATGGATTGAAGTCTAAGAGGAACAGGAGAATGTTCTGTGATCATGGGCAGTTATGATGAAAAAAAGGCAAAAGAGGACTGGAAGACAGGAGACCAAACTGATATTATCAATATCAGTATTGATAATAAATAAACTAGAGAGTGATTCCAAAAATTGGTGATAGTATGCAGAGCACAAAAGAATATCCAGAAAAGAGAGAGGTTTTTCCTAGAGAGCTTAAGGATCTGAATGAAAATAAATTACTAAAATACAAATAAGGACTTTGTTCAAATGCTAATAGAATTTGGGACATCTATTCCAAGCAAAAAGAAGAAAACTGAACAAATCTGTGAGACAATGACCTTTCTCTTTCCCAACAAATTCACAATTCAAGATGGATGTTAGATTCTAACAACAAGAAAGAACAGGAAAACAGACTATCAACAAAAAATCTGAGCCTGAAAGAGAATGGTGCAAAGCTTTGTTGAAGTAACACTTAAAAAAAGAAATCTTTAACTACTGACAAAAAGAAATCACAGAAAAAAAAAAGAGGGAGTACTATACACTCAGGATGAAGTGTGTACTTCATAAAAGGTAAACAACAAATCAAGAGTCATCCTACATTTATGGATTACGCTTATTTCAGCTCACAGTGAAGACAGTAACGTACAAGGGATGCTTTGAAAGTAATGCCTCCTATTTTATGATGTTGGCCCACAGTGCCAGGGTCAGATGTTGGTGGTACGGCAGTAAAAGCTGAGCCTTCTCACTTGTATTACATTACATTTTGTTGTGGTGCAACAGATGGCAGCAGAGGGACAGTCTGATAAATGGTGCATGACATGGAAGTGCGGACGAAGCAGAGGTGTGTCACTGAATTTCTCCACGCAGAAAAAATGGCACCCACTGACATTAATTAATACTTGCTGAACATTTATGGAGACCAAACAGTGGATGTGAGCACAGCAAGGAGGTTGGTGTTATATTTCAGAACTGGTAACAATGGGTCACCTTTGGTTGTGCAGATTCTTACAAGTGCAATATGCAGGCACTTGTCCATTGCTTGTGAAAATGTATAGGTAACGTTGGTGGCTGTGCGGAAAAACTGAGCCTTATACCTAAGAATTTTCTTTATCATATATTGTTATAGTGTTCTTTTTATCTGTCATAGTTTCTACGGAAAGAAATAGGAAGCATTACATTCAGAGCAACCTACATATATGAGACCTACTTTAATGCGTGTGAAATTTTTGTAAGAGAACAGGGGCTGCAAATAAACGAGATTGCACACTACCCATGTTCTCCCCGTCCCCTGCTGGAAGGACACATGCAGACTTCCTTAGTTTTTGTAGGTAGTAGGAAGATAGGAAGAAGTCTGTAGATCAGTTTAAAGAGCCTGCAATCTAGATAACATTGATGATTTTCATAATCAGTGAGCATTCTGTTGTCAAAAATCTTAGCTACACTGTCTTTTAAATCTTCACTGTTAATCTTGTAAATCTTTCTAACATTCCTTTCCATAACCATTGGAAAATACATCAGGTGACCTAAGGGATAAGACCAGAAAAGAAAAAATACCTCTTCAATGTTTATCCATGCTTTCTATCAGATCTGTCATCTTCAAAAAAATAATGCCCTTTTTCTTCAGAGAGTTTATGTATAAATTAAACCCTTTTGCAAATACATATAGATATTTTGCAATAATTACCATATTTAATAATAAGTCTTTCACATAAATCAGGAAATAATGTAACAAATAATAAATAACAATTTTAAAAATATTTATTAAGTCCTTTAGAAAAATGTATAATCCCAAGCTCCACCATATCACTAAATGTAATTAAATAAACAAAATATAAAAGGAGTTTAAAGGGCTAAAAATTATTTCTTTCACTTTTTAACAATGTAAAAGATTTGTAGAAGATTTAACTGAAACCACACAAAAAAAATAAATTATTTATCTTGTTTAAGTATGTAAGACTGTTATTAACAAAATACTTCAGCACTGCCCAGTCTTTCAACAAAATAAAAACAAGTAAGAAATAACAGAAATTACTGAGACAGAACAGAACTTTCAGAACTTTAAAAAAGAAAAAAAAAAAAAAAAAAAAAAAAAAAAAAAAAAAAGATGCTTTTATCATGTAATCACTACAGTTATTTCAGTGAAGGTCTGCTGGCTTTCAGTAACTACAAATTTCTTCAAATCCACACAACATATGTTCTATTCTTTTACCACCACTACAGAAAATAAGAATTGTACAATCTCACTATGAAACTGAAATCTAAGTTATTACTGCAATTTTTTTGGTACTGCTGTAAGTTTGCTCAAATCAACTCATCTCCAAGGATTCTATTTTTAAAGGATAGAATCTTCCAGCATTTTACATGCCAAGTCATTATTTGCACACAGAGACAAAGCATAAATTGAGCAGATTTTTAGGGCTAAAATTTCTAAAATTAATTTATTAGTCATGGATTTTTATATTATCTTCCAAAGCTGCAATATTACTAATCAAGATGAATAGGAGTAGAAAATTATTCTTCAAAATTGCTGTGAAGATACAATTTTCCAGTACAGAATAACTGAACATGTACAACTTTTAAAATGTCAGCAGACATTTCAAGCCAAAGTTGTGAAAAGATGTACAGAATTTAACCAAATATACTGAAATTCCACTATCTCATTGCATAGTTCTAGACAGCAGTCTGTTCCAAGTTTCACTGTAATAACTGTTTCTAAGATCCTTCTAAAAATGCTTAAATATTAAAAGTTAATGCTCCCTGACACTAGGGTAAACCTGGGGCTGCAATCACTGATTTATCTGAAAAACAGACTTTTTTCAATACTGTTTCAGGAATAAAAGATGTTTCCAAAGATGCTCCAATTACTTTCCCTCATTCTTTTTTAGCAAACGTGTTCTAAATTCCTAAATTAT